ATTCAGAAAAGCATTCGATGAAGTATGACATGAACGTCTACTAAAAAACAAAATTCCTCCAAACTTCACCCTTTTCATGAAACGCTATTTAGGCAACGGAAAATACAAGACAAGAATAAACAAGGTTTCAATCTCCAAGAGTCCACTATCGTTCATCGCCATCTCACCGAAATCTCCAATATGCCATAGGTCGAAAATTCCAAATGACACAGAATACAATTTGGATGTGAAGTGATAATGTGTATGAGAAGAAGGTAGGTAAGCGAACAGAATCGAACCATTTTTCTCTCATTTAAATACCATTTCGATATAAATACATATATAAAATAGAAGAAATGTTGTAATAAGGCGTTTTGTAAGTTGTCAGTCCAACAAGCCTGATTCACAATAAAGTAAAAATTAGTAATTTAAAGTCAATACTAAGTGGCAATAATAAATCTAGTAAAATGCTAGTATGGTGAGAATATAGGTGGATAGCGTATAATAAGCGATAACAACAAATTAGTGCCGATATAATAAACTAATTGACGGTTTACATGAGCTGCGAAGTTTACGTTTTCTATTCAATGTTTTCAGTGTGATTTTATTTAAAAAAAAATATATATATATTAATTCTGTAACATCCTTTTGCTTTTACATAGAGTGCGGCAATCTAATGAGGGTGGCGAAATGAAACAAGAAAACGGATGGATATAAATTATCTTCGAAAGTCGATTAGGTATCGCGGAGAGATTCTATCAACATTAAATCCAAACCTGTTCTGTTATGAAATTACCGGACATGATTGCCCACCGACCTGGGGTAATTTGCTTCGGGATAGGGGACGCGAGATTTCTTCAAAAAAAGGCTAAACAAAAACGGAGCCGACAGCCTCTGCTCTTTTATTTTTTTCTGAATAGGATTTAGCGACCACGGTTTGTTTATTTAGGTTAAGGTTGATATTTATGAAATTTAATCTAAGTAAAAGATTTCATAAAAGCTCTGCCAATAAATAAGAAAACTAATCTCCAATCTTCAGAGTATTTGTATGGTGGTTGAAGGCAAGAGAAAAATCAGCAAAAGGATCGATCAGGCATCGATCGACGATCGATCGCCGGTTTCGGGTCGAAATGGTAATGATTTTTTGCGGTCATCGGTGGTATAGATGGACGAGCAATATTTATTGTGTCCAGCAGGTTGCCAGAATGTGTCGGCCGCTGGGCTGCAGGTTGACCAACGTTTCCACATTCTCGACATACAATGATTACAGAGTGGAACTCTTCGCGTTTTGTTTTCATAAAAACAATTTGACCTATTTAATTTATTTGACATATTGACCTAAATGTGAAAATTTCGAGCAATACCTACTCATTATAAAATGACAAAGTGAATTTTCAAGAGTATCAACGGATAAAATTTAAATATACCTACGCTCAATATTTATCTAGCCATCTAAGTCGTAAAGTTCATTATTTAATGAAAACTTTTTGAACTGAAATGCAAGGTCGATTTTACACCCATAATACCATTTTTGATTTTCAATGAATATATTTTTTGCCATTTATTTTATACGATCGTGCATAAAATTGATTACTAGGTACTCGATATCGTTGCATGGGTATCTATTTACGTAAGCAAACTTTGTCATATACAATAGCTTAAAATTGTTTGTATTTAGTTATTGGATATTAAATATTTCAATCAGGAATAGTTTGCACAAACAAATAGGTACGATGTTTTGTTTCACCAATAAATTATTTTGGAATAAATTTAATGGTATATCTTTATCTTCTTGTTTTATACCATGTGTATCGGTATTTGTATCACAGCATCCAGAACAAATCTAATTGTGAAATATTTTTATGCCTCTTGTTCGATGATCAATTTGTTCCCGTCAAATGGCAGGTGCATAAATAGTTATCCTCCAATGCTCCTCAGCATATTTCTCCATCACGCTAACTCTAGTTGTATTGAGCGGTCCTCCAATATGAAATTACTTGAATTCTGAGATGCTCTATGTTTTTTGGAGGTCCAAACTGGGTACAGATACCTATCTGTTTTCCATCAAGTGGTCAGCAACTAGCTGAATCCAACAGCACCAGGGCCTTCTTTCAGGCTACTAAGATGGTACACGATTTAAAGATGGCACAAGGCTGCTCAAAGACAGTTTTCATTTATTCTCGTTTAAATTAACACTTTCAGGAACTACCTACTTAACAAATAAATAATGATATCTTCGAAGAAATTTCCGAAAAAACAATACAACAAGAACTGAGCGAGGTTCCCACATTAGAGGAGGTTGAAAAGGCAATCAGAACCTCCGAGAGACTCAGTGTGGCTTTAGACCCAACCGAGGTACAGCTGACATGATTTTCAGTGCACGACAAATGCAAGAACAATCCAGAGAACAAAATCGCCCTGTATACATGGCCTCCATAGATTTAGTGAGAGCATTTGATCCGGTCATCAGAGAAGCTCTTTAGAAAATATTACCAAAGGTAGGGTGTCCACAATGGTACATCCAGATACTCCCCTACTGCTGCATGAAAATATGAATGCGACCATCCTAAGTAACGATGGACAAGGAGAGTCTTTCCAAATAACTACCGGCGTTATTAAACAGGGCTGTGTTATTGCACCCTCTTCATTTTCTCTATTTATAGGATCCATACTCCACCTTGTTGAGGGTAACCTAGCGTCAGGAGGAGAAATTCTGTACAGACTTGATAACGACTTATTCAACTTAAACAGATTACGAGCCAAGACGAAAGTATCGACGACATCGATAATTGAACTTCAATATGCGGATAACAACGTCGTGATAGCCAATACAAAGGAAGATCTTCAGGAAATTATCAATGCATTCAACGAAGCATACATGAGAATCGGCCTGGAGGTCAACTTTAACAAGATGCAGATTCTGCACCAACCCGTATACCGGGCACTAATCCCCAAGCCCCAAATATAACTATAAATGAACAGTTTTCGCAGAACGTATACCTTGGGAGCCATCTGTCAACGGAGGAAGCCATTGACGCTAAAATCCAACATCGCTTGAAGTGTGCTAGTGCGGCGATCAGACGACTTCTAAAGAGAGTCTTCAACAATCATGATATCAGCGCTGAGAACAAACTTCGCGTCTACCACGCAATTGTAACACCAACACTTACATATGGCTGCGAAACATGAAAGACCTACAGAAGACAAATAAAAAACCTAGAAAAATACCCCCAGCAATGCCTAAGAAGGATCCTATGCATTATATGGCAAGACAGAGGAACGAACATTAGTGTTTTAGAGGAGGTCAAAACAACTGGACATGAAAGCCGTTATTATTAAACACAAACTTCGCTGGACAGGTCACCTCGTCCACATGCCCGAAACACGTCTTCAATGACAGATTTTCACAGTCAACTGATAAAGGGAAAACGAATCTAGGAGGTAACCACTAACGCGACAAAAAGTTGTTCTTGAGGAGAATATAGCAAAGTGCCGCATCGAACTGGGACCAAGGAACCGAAAGGAGAGAGAGACCGGAATGAGGGACCGCAGGAAGGAGCGAGAGAATAGAAGAAGAGACAATGCTGCCAGAGGCTGGATGTGCCAAGACTGTGGAAGAGTATGCGGCTCCAGAATTGGTTTATATAGCCATCAGAAAACGCACAATCGACAACAATAAGAATAGAATAGAAGCTAACCATACTTGGTATCGAGTGATCGCCTATGATGATGATGACTTTAATTCGATGCACTTATGTTTTGGAATGATATACTAATGAGAAATTCGGTATCCTCTTATTTTAATTGGTTTTAGGTTTCTGATGTCATAAATCTTGCCCGCATTTTCGAAGCAGTTGAATTCTAATTTTCAAAAATACGTTTTTTTTAAGTATACGGACCTCGATAAAGATGTTATTACAATGACTTACCGGAATAATTTAAATATGATTTTGAGAATTGTTAAAGTGGCCTATTGTCTCGTGATATTATTGAACTCTTCATTCTCATCTTCAAACATTTTCCTGGCCAACCACATTTCACATAACATGTTTCTTAGATTTTCAGGATATTCTTTCATTCTTTAACCAGCGGTTTTTAGTTTAATATGCATTTTTATATAATATTGACGCTTTACATACACCTTTCACTCAATTATTGTTTTACTATCATGGTACTTTGAATGAAATGTTGGTCCGGCCCTGATGGGTTTTAACGAGCAGATACCCAGCACCCAGCCAGAAGGGCCGCATGCGACGGAAGCCGCCATTGTCCACTAAGAAGGTTTCGGACTTTTTGCATCAATGGGGCCCGCGCGAGTGCAGACTACGAAAAACGTATTCATACCAAACATTTTTCCGATCGATTAGGAAACCCGTAAAAATATCTCGGAATAAAAAACAAAAGTCTTCGACACTTCGCGGTCAGCATGGGGCCAACGCCACCAGCCGAAGCCCATACATTTTATATCTTTCATGTCTGAAACTTTCTAATTCGGTCATAGGATTCATATTGATAAAAAATTTCACTTATTTGCATCAAGTTAGTATCGATTGAATCAATGTCTCTTTTATCCACAAGATCCAAAAATTACATAATCTCATTAATGAATTCTCTTTTTTTTGTGAAGGAGGCGTGCAAGAAGAATTGCATCAGTTCTCGAAAATTTCCGTATAAATATCATGCAGGTATTCATAAAATATAGATATTGAAATCTATGTCAGAAGGTGCTTATTAATTTTAAATACATTTTTCTATATTGTAAAGAAAATATTGCGTTGCATTGATTTCTGAAGACATAAACAAAAAAAAAATACAATCCCACTGTCTGGTGCAAGGACAGTGTGACAAATCAAAACTCGATTGACCAGTGACTTGTCGGTAGCCCAAATCGATCGGAGTCGCGATCTTAGAAGGAACCATTAAAGCAAAATCAATAAAAGATCGGTATTTTTCAGCGACCAGTATTTACTTTGATGTCGGTTACTGTAAAATTGGTTGCGTTTTGTACTGATTAAACTTACCTATCTGTCCAACATAAAGTGTCATCTCGGTACCTGAAATCAAAAAAAAAGCATAATAAATTTCAAATCTTGATAATTATTGGTAGAAATATGTGTAGAAGGATTGCATGTGCCATAGAGAAATTTAAACATACCAACAGATGCCGAGTAGCATAAATCATTTTGAAACAAGTGATAAGTGTAACATTGAATAGTTTTTTGCCTAAGAAGTGCGGCATTTATACTTCTCCGCGAGAATTTGGAACATTATTTTCTCATAATCTTTATTCGGGTTCCTGCAATAACAGTTTGGGTTTTATCCAACTAATTTAGGACGGTTCTGGATTAGAAAGTTTGGCTTTCGGGTTAAAGTCAGTTCTGGGACGGTCCTAGAACTGTCAGGTCCCTGCTTTAGAGCAAAAATTATTTTCGGAATATTTGTTACACATGCGCGACATGCGCACTGCATCCAATATGGATATTCGGTATTTATCCAATGGATAAAGTAGTCATAGATAATCAAAATTTGAATTATTACCGGCTCTTGATTCTTTGGAAAACCTTCCAAATTTCGAATGATCATTAGGAGCTCTTAGGTTGATATTAATCAAAATTTCCCAGCTTCTAATTGGCTGTAGAAAAATTATCCAAGGGATCAAGAGCCACAGATAATCAAAATTTGAACTATTACCGGCTCTTGATTCTTTGGAATACCTTCCTAGAGCCAATCAGGAGCCGCTAATAGTAAAAATTTGAACTTTTATCAACTCTGGATTCCCTAGAGAACCTTTCCAAGTGAAGACTCAAGAGCCGATAATAATCAAAATTTCGATTACTCATTAGCAGCTCTTGAGTTGATAATAATCAAAATTTCTTCTTCCGCAGCTTCTAATTGGCTCTTTTAGTTAAACAATTTCCCATTAATAAAACCCAGGGGGAGCTAATTGTGATATTTGCTTAGGGGCCCAGTGCATGCAAGCGCTGCCACAGCGTACAACATAAGTCCTATTTTGAATTTTGACAGATAAGAAGGGTTAGAGCAGGCGTTAGGACATAAAATTTGTTTGTTTATAAAATATAACCTTTAAATTAAAGTAAACATCTCAAACTTGAAAGCTATGTTCTCGAAATGAAATGTCAAATTAAATTCTTGATTGTTGGGTTCCGGATGCGTTCGGGTTTTTTAAATTTCTGGACAGTCCGAGAACCGTCCTTGGCATCAGACCTATGCGCATGCAATTCTGCGCTGTCAGCGAATCATTTGATAACAACTGTTCTAGAATGATTCAAAAAAATTAAATCCGAATATAGTTATAATCCACAACCAGAACAAAATATATATTCAATCTGATGAAGGATAATTTTTCATTATCATGAATACATAAATGAAGACATGAATCGTTTTTAATGTAAATTTCAACCATAATTTTGTTATAACATCGAAAAACCAAAAGTGAATAGTAAATACATTGCATCGTTCCAGATTCACTTTCGGTGTAATCTCAAAAAAGTATAAGAAAGTATCTTTCTTTTTTTTTTTGAGATGATTTAATGATAATGAGCTGATACCTAGGTTGTGTTGCCTCATATGAATTCTCAACTTTATATTTTGAGCAACTAGAGGGTAACCCAAATACAGACCGTCAGATAGTGACATATTTAGGTGCCCCATTTTCGCATACAAGCCTCGAAGAGGGTTGAAAAGTACATCGATTTTGAGTAGGATGAAGGTATTTTTACGAATGGATCCTGGGGATAACGTATGGAAAATTCGATTTTCCGTAACAGAAATGAAAGACGTCCTAGTGCCTATATTTTCTCGCAAGCCGCGTTCACCAAAGGATTAATTAATAAAACCTGGCTTCGTGAAAACAAATAAGGGGGTGTTGCAGGTGGCTGAAGGTTTGAAATAAGGGCGAAACTTTGTAAGGAAAAATCAAGATTTTGGGCGATTTTTCAACACAAGCCCATCAGAAGGATGAAAATCTACAATTTCGGTAGCAGGAAAACATATTTTCTTGAGTGTCGCTAATGAAAAAGTACATTTAAGGGTAACATAAGTAAAATTGAATTTTCCATATTATGTTATCCCCAGGAGCCATTCGTAAAAATACCTTCATCCTACTCAAAATCGATGTACTATTCAACCCCCTTCGAGGCTTGTATGCAAAAATGGGGCACCTTAATATGTCACTATCTGACGGTCGTGCCTGTATAAGAGCAGGTTTGACAACACATATTTTAGCACGTGAAAATATATATTTTCAATCAAAAAAGTCTTATGAAAAACCCTTACATTGTGGCAACGTTGTACAGATGTTTATACAGGGTGGAGAATTAAAAAGGATCCACCTGGATTTTCTCGAAAATTATCAGGAAATCAAAAAAACGCCGAAACACATCAATTTTGTTTGCAAGGGGCACACTTTTTGGCTATTTCAAAATTTTCCTAGATTGCACCCTCTTACCGGGGTGAGTTGCACCCTCATAAGTTGAATAGGGAAACTGGGTCGAGTGGTACCTTGTTTGAGAGGTATTTGAGATGACTTTACAGATCTGTAATATTTTTCTAAATCTGACTTCTAGTTTTCAAGATATTCGCCTCGGAAGTTGCCATGGGGCGAACAGAGAACGTGTTTTTCGTGAAAAAATAAAAAGTGGGTCATGTTTGGAAGGTTGTTCAAAAGATTCAAACTAACAAAGAAACAAAGGTTCAAAATAAACAAAATTGACGTGTTTCAGGAATTTTATTTTTTTCTTGTAGAAATATACGAAAAACACGTTCAGTTTTCATCCCATGGCAACTACAGGGGCCTAATTCTTGAAAGTGGTGAAAATATTCACCGGGTGGAATTGCTAAGCTTTCACCAAAAATTTACATAATCATATTCTTGAAAAAAAAAAGGTGAAAATTTTCACCTTTTATTGGGTGAATAGATTCACCACCGAAAAGAGTGGTGAATGTTACATATTTCGGTGAAAACGTGCATTTCTAACCTTAATTCGTCACTTTGTAATTTGTTTATTTGTTTTGTAATTGTTTATTGTCAATAATTATTGACTATTTTGTCAGAGTACTCTGATTTTGTATTTTAATTCCTATTTCCTATAAAATAACTGGCTTGTGAACCTATTATTATATTATAAAGTATGGAAAACGAGCTATTGTTAATAAACCTAATTGAAATTGGAGACATCATAGATGATGCAGCGGTTGGCGAGGGAAATAGAATGAGACATAGACGAAAAAATCCTTTTGAAATACCGATTTTTTATTCAAGAAATTATTCAGGTTAACCAAACCTCTTGTTCGCCTTCTTATAGAAATTTAAGATCCTTTTCTAGAAGCTCCAACAAGAATATCAGCTTTGTAAAGCTTTTTGTACAAGAATCTGAAAATTGTCCTTTTCTCAATTCGTCATCATTCACAACTTCAATTAGATGTTCTTTTTGCTACGTGGTTGCATGTCCACAATATTTCTTAGACATCTCTTTCAACTGTTGAATTTACACGGCAAAATAGCAATAGTTTATGCTTAAATTTTTCGAAAACAAATTATTGCTGCGGTCGCCGGTCAGTTGACGCGTTGACGGTTGCGGAAAAAAAACCCACACAAAAGTAAGGTTAAGAATTGTAGGCGTTTTCAATTTTCCTTCTAAAAAGGCTATATTCCGACGTTGCCAAAGTGTTATTTTATATCCACCTCAAGTAAATTCACCCACGACTCGAGAATACAAAACGAGTGAGGAAGGTGAAAATTAGGTGTTGAAATTTTTCACCGGGTGAATATTTTCACCACTTTCAAGAATTGGCCCCCTGAGGCGAATATCTTGAAAACTAGTAGTCAGATTTCGAAATAAATTGCAGATCTGTAAATTCATCTCAAATACCTCTCAAACAAGATACCTACCACTCGACCCAGTTTCCCTATTCAACTTTTGAGGGTGCAACTCACCCCGGTAAGGGGGTGCCATCTAGGAAAATTTTGAAATAGCCAAAAAGTGTCCCCCTTGCAAACAAAATCGACGTGTTTCGGCTTTTTTTTAATTTCCTGATAATTTTCGAGAAAATCCAGGTGGATCCTTTTTAATTTTCCACCCTGTATTCCTGAACTACTGATGGCCTGACCAAATGTAAGCAAACTATACCCGAATTATAAAAAAAAAGTTACGTTTTTGCATCGAGTTTATTTTCGATGTTTTGGTTGGGGTTTATTTATTCTTATAATAATGTAAATACCTACCTAAATGATAAAACTTGTTGATTGCACTAAAAATTAAAAGCAAATTTCGAAATCTATTAAGGCAATGAAATGCTCTTATTTTGGGAATTCATAAAAACTAAAAATTTTTCTCTTGGTAGGATTACACTGACATTGACAGCAAATTCGGCTGGTACCTATTTTTAATTTATGTCTGTGAGGTTTTGAAATAGTAAAATTTTAATAGGTATAAGTTTTCGACTTGGATAATTTTCAAAATATCAGAGTTGAAAAAATTTCCCGAAATGATTTGGGCACCATAGGTTTTATAAGTGAAAAATTACTAGGTACAGTAGTGTAGGTACTCATCTACTACTTGCCAAATCTTGATAATAATTGAAATACTTACCAATGCTTGTGAGAATATCTAACACTAGAATTACCGCATTAATTTTCATCAATCTAGACGACACTATTCAGAAAATTACCAAAACAAAAAGAAAAGACCACTCGGGAAAAGAGCGATAAGTAATCACGTGCGAGGCTAAAGACATAATGACAAAAACAAGGTACAAGTGACAAGAGACAAAAATACAATAACACGTGTTGTAACCCAAATGTAACCCAAAATGAGAAAATACAGGATACAATTAACTTTTTTTTACAATTTACAATAATTACAAATTTTCGAATTTCCAGTATTTTGTAACTTGTTTCTTGTACGTTGCATTTGTCATTTAGTTTTGAGCCCATCTGAATACAAACTAAAATATTCATTTAATTACCTCTATTTTTTTTTGTTGAATGTGCTATGTTGCCACTAGATGTTTAAGAACACAATTTCCAGCAAAA